AAATATCGTACTTCTAAATATGTTTATTCCAAAAAACTGTACTCCTGAAGGGACTACTTTGTTTGCTGTCAGACTCATTTGCATATGGGTTGTGGAAATACCGATTTTGATTTCAGGGACGAATCAAAATAAACTGCAGTACATATGTAATAATATTTAATACCAAATGCTGTAAATCCACATATGGTGGTATAACAAACTTACAACATGCACTGTAAATCTACATATGATGGTATAACAAACTTATACCAAATGCTGTAAATCCACATATGGTGGTATAACAAACTTACACCATGTACTGTAAATCTACATATGGGTATAACAAACTTACACCAAGTACTGTAAATCTACATATGGTGGTATAACAAACTTACACCAAGTACTGTAAATCTACATATGGTGATATAACAAACTTATACCATGTGCTGTAAATCCACATATGGTGGTATAGAAAACTTACACCAAGTACTGTAAATCCACATATGGTGGTATAACAAACTTACACCAAGTACTGTAAATCTACATATGGTGGTATAACAAACGTACACCAAGTACTGTAAATCCACATATGGTGGTATAGAAAACTTACACCAAGTACTGTAAATCCACATATGGTGGTATAACAAACTTACACCAAGTACTGTAAATCTACATATGGTGGTATAACAAACTTACACCAAGTACTGTAAATCTACATATGGTGGTATAACAAACTTACACCATGTGCTGTAAATCCACATATGATGGTATAACAAACTTATACCAAGTACTGTAAATCAACATATGGTGGTATAACAAACTTACACCATGTGCTGTAAATCAACATATGGTGGTATAACAAACTTATACCAAGTACTGTAAATCTATATATGATAGTATAACAAACTTACACCATGTACTGTAAATCTACATATGGTGGTATAACAAACTTACACCAAGTACTGTAAATCCACATATGGTGGTATAACAAACTTACACCAAGTACTGTAAATCTACATATGGTGGTATAACAAACTTATACCAAGTACTGTAAATCTACATATGGTGGTATAACAAACTTACACCATGTGCTGTAAATCCACATATGATGGTATAACAAATATACACCAAGTACTGTAAATCCACATATGGTGGTATAATCTGTGGATTTTGTCAAAATCACAACATTTCACATTTTAAAGTTGTTGCTGTGCAAATTTGGATTTCCTCTGGAATCCTAGAAATACAAAGTCTGTGCGACTTGGCGCAAAGTTTTGTTCTCACAAAGGCCTTTCTATGATCAAATTAACTTTCGAGCAAAAATTAAATGCTTTGCAGTATCTTTTCACAGTAAATTGCATTACATATTTAATAATAATTATTAAGCATTTTATATAATAGTGATTTTCTAGAATTTCCAGCTATTCAATGTACAATGATTGTATAATGTTTATATACTGGATTCTGCCGTAAATTCGCCCAGGGCCGTTGAATGGCAGTTCAGGTTTTAAAAAAAAAATGGGACCAAAAAACCGCCCAGGGCGATTTTTCTGCAGTTTTTTAAGGTGTTATTTTAATCTTTTCTGATACCTAAAAATTTTGCCGTAGTCATCTACGCCTATTCAAGAGATGTTTATTGCGACTAGCGCTGTAAACAATGTAAAATTATTCTTCAAATGCTCAGTTTATCTTTTGAAAACAACTAATTTTTTTATTTAAAAACAAATCATGCCGCTTTTCCATCAAAATCCAAGCCAAAAGATTGTACAACAACAACATTGGCAAATATCTCTTCCGTGCTGCATTCAATAACATTAACATATTAAAATGAGCTATAATGATAATTTGAACACGTTGGCATCATCCATCATTTTCATTGGCTAATTATCGATTTGACCTGTCAAGTTAAAGAACACCATTTCAGGTCAAAACATGGCAGATATTTATTTCTACAGCATCAAGTGTTGAAAATGCGATCGGAATTATCCGCTTATGATGAAATAAGTTGAAATTTATTTGCATTTCATAACAATTCAACGAATTTATTTTTTGTACGTTATTATAATCATTACTAGGTAATGTTCAACATTTGTAAAACGTAGCATGACCGGATTGCGCTACAACGATCTTTTGCTACTAAGCAATGCAGTTGTGTTCATTGTTATTTGAAACTTTTTTTAGAATATACTTTCATTACATATAAAATAAAACAAAATAATTGTATTTGGCGCACAAGGTTCGTTTATAATGTGATATTTTTGGAGAAAGATGCGTAGTCTACTTTTTAATCCAGCTAGAAAAATATGTATACAATTTTAGATTAGCATCTGCAATAGTTTCTTTCGTTTTGGGTGGTCCAACTGCCGGTGTTGAAAAACGGCGTAGGTGGATTTTTCAATGAAAATATAAGCCTTCTAAAAATATTTGATGATAATTTTTTGAACATTTTAACATCAAATAAGGCCCACCAGCCGTGAAACCGCCCAGGGTGATTTTTTGGATGTGTGAATTTACGGCAGAATCCGGTACAATGTATGTATATTTAATTTCACAAGTTGGAGTGTGTTTTCACTCGACAACGAGATGCAATTAACGAATTATATCATGAACAAAACGATAAAATTCAACAATCAGTTGCATTGCCAGTGCACAGCGCTGAACGCATGTTGATTTACATAAATACGAAAGATGTATTGTACGATTTATCTTTTGATCATGAATAACATTTGACATTGAAATGACCTTTCTAATACCCATATTTTTAGAATCCTCCATCAGAAATCCAATAGCTCAGTCATTAGAGGCTCTACCTGTTGTAGTTGAATTTGAATTTGAACCCCTTACTTGGCCTACTTTTTCAATAATTTCGAAAGAACTCATCTCTTTGTCAACTACAGATGTTTCACTGAGACTAAAGCTGCTCAGTTTCCAATTAGTATAAAGTCAAAAAGACATGTGTGGATTAATTAAAAAATAAACCAAGGGCCAGAAAAATTGATCACATGACCAAGAGTGGTATAAATTGCAATAACAATTTGAGGCATGATACCAAGAAAATTTCTGAAAAATAACAGTGCTTGATTGATTTCAGGTCATCAACCTAGTAATAAAACCAAAGATAAACAAGATGAAGATGTTGCCGAATGGAGTGGTCCAGTTCCAACATGTATTGGTATGTATAACGTTTTATATACCATACTCTTAACACCGCCTTGAAACTGTTAACAAGTTATTCCATTTGTAAGCTATTGATGCAAAGTTTGGAGAGAGAAGTTTGAATAAAAATGGAATTTTTCAAAGTGTAAACTTGTCATGATCATGAAAAGCATGCATAAAAATAAGAGAAGATTTGTATAATTGAAACGTCACCATCAAAAATACACAGCTATATTGTTAATTGTGAATATTATCAGTGAGATGAGTGAAAATAAAACCCAGTAAATAATTAAAGCGAGAGGGTCATCACCTGTGTACGCGTGGGAATTGAGTCCCAAGCGATGATAACAACACACGCTAAAAATGCAACGACCCATGGGTAGACGTTTATTTCATCGTCTATGGTCATCTGACGCATGTGCAGGTGACGACTCCCTCGCTTTATTAATAAGCCCTGTATTAATAGTGAAATGTCACAGTCTTTATGCTGTGTTGTATTTGATAACTGTCCCAAATGATGTGTGCAACGTATGTAGAATACATAGTTAGTTTCCATGGAATTCAACTACTTTCTATGGTGGTGACACTTCAATATAGAATATAAAAATTTAAATTAATTAATTGAATTATAGAAGTGAGCTTTGGTCACATCAATGTAGATGCCACATCAATGTAGATGGTAATTTCATTCAGTCAGAACATGTGGACAACGTGGCTAACCAGTTATATTTCTTGTCTTTAAAAGTCATAGGTTGGTGACATATGAAGGTGACATTTCCTACCAGATAGATTCTTAGAGAAAAATATTATTTCATTGCAAGTGGGACAACTTATATAGGATTAAGGTGTATAGGCATTCTTTATACATGTAAAGGAATTGAAAAACTGTATTTATTTTTTCAGATGTTGAGCCACCCCAAGTATCCTGCCCAGACACCCAAGTAGTTTTGACGAATGACGTAGAATATGCAGTTTACTATGATCCTGTAGAAGCTACGGATAATGTGGCTGTGGCTGCTGTGATGTATAGTAAGACAAATGGTACTGTAGTACCTACTCTTACATTTGTGACTGTGACTGTGACAGCTGAAGATGATGCTGGCAACATTGCATCATGTCTCTTCTATGTTGATGTACAGCGTAAGTAATTATCTTAGACACAGACACTTTCAGAAACATTTTCTTTGAAGATGCATTCTTGTTGGTTGTTATCCGATTATTGTGAAAACAATGAAAAATCACTCACAGCCACTTTACTTCAGAAAAATCTTCTCAATTCAATTTCTGAATTCTGTTGGATAATATTTCTCTTGAACCATCTAAAATCCAAATCCCCTATGATGCTTAAAGGCGTCAGTGAGAGATTTTCTACGGATCGTACAAAGTTAGAATACAATTTTAATTTCATGCATTTTGTTTTCAAAAACACCCACTTCAAGGTATTTTTAGTCCCCGTTCGAACACAGTCCGAAAACGGGTACTTGTGGATTGACCTCTGTGCGTTCGTGTGTGCATTCGGACCTGTATCTTAGACATGCCTGGACCGATTACATTCAAACCTTGCACATACATCATACATAATATTATACATATGCACATCAATTTGTTTCACGATCTTATTCAAGATGGCCGAATGGTGGCCTTTTTTGTACTGAAAAATCATCAAAATCAAGCATTTCTCAGCTGTAACAGATGGATTTTATTCAAACTTGTTACATACATTGGACAATATGTGTCCCTGATGCATATCATTTTGTTTTTCAGATCAATTTCAAAATGGCTGACTGGCGGCCATTTTGTTCTAATGAATGTGGTTCTTGTGCCATATCTCTGCCATGCTGTGACTGATTATGTTCAAATTTTAAATATTCATTATACATCATCTCATAGATATAGATATATTGGTTTGATGATCAATTCAAAATGGCCAACTGATGGCCATTTTGTTTTTATTAATGCTGTTCCACGGCAGTATTTCTCAATATGAACAACGTTGAGTGGAAACCCCGGAAAACACTAAACCTGTCGAAAAACACTAAACCTGTCGAAAAACACTAAACCTGACAATAAAAACACTAAACCCGAGGTAAAGGGTGTATTATGGGTGTACCATAATCGTCCAGTGAATATTTGATTAAAAGAAAGCGAAAACATGAAACAGAACCCACGACGGGTTTAGTGTTTTTTCAACAGGTTTAGTCTTTTTCAATAGGTTTAGTGTTTTTCAACTGGTTTAGTGTTTTCCGGGGTTTCCACTCAACGTATGAACAAGTACTTGTACTACATGTATGTATATTACTATAAACAAAACTATATACTGTTAAATACTTTCGCTTAGAATTAATTTTTTTTTAAATCCAGTGAATATAGCTCTTTACTAAGTTTTACCTTCAACTCATCAAAAATCAGTGAAAATAAATTCCATACAAAACACGCAAAGTCTTTTCAGCGACAAAAAATTCCAGCTAAAATAAAGTCTTTCACAGTAACTTAAATTTGATAACTGACGGGGACTGTGACATGCATGGCTTGTTTAAAATAAAATCATAACATTTCCTTGGGACAAACACAGCATGAGTACCACACCTTCAATCTGTTTTTATTGTCACTGAAAAAAGTGTGAACCTATTAAAAATATAATTGATTTCTTGAGTTCTTGATAACGTATGTATTATCACCAAGTGTATAATGTTTGTACCCCTCATACTTACAGCTGTTGATTGCCCTGAATGGAGTCTTGGCTCTCCAGAGGACCTACGCAGTTGTTCTGGATTGGTTGTTGGCGAAACTGAAACTGGTTACTCGTGTAGTATAACCTGTCCAGATGGTACAGACTTCATACAACCATTACCAGAACCAGACGGAATGTTTACTTGTGTATATGGTGAAGGTTGGATGCCGCATAATAGAGTTCCACCATGTGTAGGTAAGTACAGTCAAGCCTCTTTAATGTAATAGAATTGACTTACAATGAATGCAGACTTGGTTTCTGATGTAATAGACATTATTATAGCACAGTAAAACAATATATGTTCAACTAATTCATTTGTATCTAAGAACAATAGATAACTGTTTGATAATTATCAGTTTGAGAAAATGTCCTCCTGTACTTGGTAGGACATAAAAATTAGGATTACAATTACCTATTTTGACATGATGTGCAATGAACACTTGAGGTATCATAAGCTACGACATGTATGCTATGGACTACTTGAGGTATCATCAGCTATGACATATGCAATGAACTTTGACATGATATGCAATGAACACTTGAGGTATCATCAGATATGACATATATGCAATGGATTTTGACATGATGTGCAATGAACACTTGAGGTATCATCAGATATGACATATATGCAATGGATTTTGACATGATGTGCAAAGAACACTTGAGGTATCATCAGCTATGACATATATGCAATGGATTTTGACATGATGTGCAATGAACACTAAAGGTATCAGCTATGACATATATGCAATGGATTTTGACATGATGTGCAATGAACATTTGAGGTATCATCAGCTATGACATATGCAATGGATTTTGACATGATGTGCAATGAACACTTGAGGTATCATCAGCTATGACATATGCAATGGACTTTGACATGATATGCATTGAACACTTGAGGTATCATCAGATATGACATATATGCAATGGATTTTGACATGATGTGCAATGAACACTTGAGGTATCATCAGCTATGACATATATGCAATGGATTTTGACATGATGTGCAATGAACATTTGAGGTATCATCAGCTATGACATATGCAATGGATTTTGACATGATGTGCAAAGAACACTTGAGGTATCATCAGATATGACATATATGCAATGGATTTTGACATGATGTGCAATGAACACTTGAGGTATCATCAGCTATGACATATATGCAATGGATTTTGACATGATGTGCAATGAACATTTGAGGTATCATCAGCTATGACATATGCAATGGATTTTGACATGATGTGCAAAGAACACTTGAGGTATCATCAGATATGACATATATGCAATGGATTTTGACATGATGTGCAATGAACACTTGAGGTATCATCAGATATGACATGACTGCAATGGATTTTGACATGATGTGCAATGAACACTAAAGGTATCATCATATATGACATATATGCAATGGATTTTGACATGATGTGCAATGAACACTTGAGGTATCATCAGATATGACATGTATGCAATGGATTTTGACATGATGTGCAATGAACACTAAAAGGTATCGTCAGCTATGACATATCTGCAATGGATTTTGACATGATGTGCAATGAACACTAAAAGGTATCATCAGCTATGACAAATATGCAATGGATTTTGACATGATGTGCAATGAACACTTGAGGTATCATCAGCTATGACAATATATGCAATGGATTTTGACATGATGTGCAATGAATACTTGAAGTATCATCAGCTATGTCATTTATGCAATGGATTTTGACATGATGTGCAATGAACACTTGAGGTATCATCAGATATGACATATATGCAATGGATTTTGACATGATGTGCAATGAACACTAGAGGTATCATCAGCTATGACATGACTGCAATGGATTTTGACATGATGTGCAATGAACACTAAAAGGTATCGTCAGCTATGACATATATGCAATGGATTTTGACATGATGTGCAATGAACATTAAAAGGTATCGTCAGCTATGACATATATGCAAAGTATTTTGACATGATGTGTAATGAACATTTGAGGTATCATCAGATATGATATATATGCAATGGATTTTGCATGATGTGTAATGAACATTTGAGGTATCATCAGATATGATATATATGCAATGGATTTTGCATGATGTGCAATGAACACTTGAGGTATTGTCAGCTACGACCTATATGCAAAGGATTTTGACATGATGTGCAATGAACACTTGAGGTATTATCAGATATGACATATATGCAAAGTATTTTGACATGATGTGTAATGAACACTTGAGGTATCATTAGCTATGACATATGCAATGGACTTTGCATGATGTGCAATGAACACTTGAGGTATTGTCAGCTATGACATATATGCAAAGTATTTTGACATGATGTGTAATGAACACTTGAGGTATCATTAGCTATGACATATGCAATGTATTTTGACATGCTGTGCAATGAACACTAAAGGTATCATCAGATATGACATGTATGCAATGGATTTTGACATGATGTGCAATGAACACTAAAAGGTATCGTCAGCTATGACATATCTGCAATGGATTTTGACATGATGTGCAATGAACACTAAAGGTATCATCAGATATGACATGTATGCAATGGATTTTGACATGATGTGCAATGAACACTAAAAGGTATCGTTAGCTATGACATATATGCAATGGATTTTGACATGATGTGCAATGAACACTTGAGGTATCATCAGATATGACATATATGCAATGGATTTTGCATGATGTGCAATGACACTTGAGATATCATCAGATATGACATATGCAATGGATTTTGACATGATGTACAAGGAACACTAAAAGGTATCGTTAGCTATGACATATATGCAATGGATTTTGACATGATGTGCAATGAACACTTGAGGTATCATCAGCTATGACATATGCAATGGATTTTGACATGATGTGCAATGAACACTTGAGGTATCATCAGCTATGACATATATGCAATGGATTTTGACATGATGTGCAATGAACACTTGAGGTATCATCAGATATGACATATATGCAATGGATTTTGCATGATGTGCAATGACACTTGAGATATCATCAGATATGACATATGCAATGGATTTTGACATGATGTGCAAGGAACACTAAAAGGTATCGTTAGCTATGACATATATGCAATGGATTTTGACATGATGTGCAATGAACACTTGAGGTATCATCAGCTATGACATATGCAATGGATTTTGACATGATGTGCAATGAACACTAAAGGTATTATCAGCTATGACATATATGCAATGGATTTTGACATGATGTGCAATGAACATTTGAGGTATCATCAGCTATGACATATATGCAATGGATTTTGACATGATGTGCAATGAACACTAAAGGTATCATCAGCTATGACATGACTGCAATGGATTTTGACATGATGTGCAATGAACACTAAAAGGTATCGTCAGCTAAGACATATATGCAATGGATTTTGACATGATGTGCAATGAACACTAAAAGGTATCGTCAGCTATGACATATATGCAATGGACTTTGACATGATGTGCAATGAACACTTGAGGTATCATCAGATATGACATATATGCAAAGGATTTTGACATGATGTGCAATGAACACTTGACGTATCATCAGATATGACATATATGCAATGGACTTTGCATGATGTGCAATGAACACCTGAGGGGGGGGGGGTTGTTTAGATGAGCTATAGCACATCTGGAACAGACATACATGTATGTTGTAGCCCTCATTGACCATTAATAAATGCATTGTTTGTAACAAATTATACTGTTGACTTTCAACACCTGCAACAGTGTTTGCCAATGATGAACACACATAGCATTTATATACTGTAATTTCCCTGAAATAAGTTTTTAGGATATACAAGTCCTGGTGTTGGAAGCTAGATTTATAAAGTACAGGGGCAAAATGAGACATAATAATGTCTTAATACAAAGTACCTGCTAAACAAGCCATTTAGCTGACCACCTTCTCAACTCTTTTCACCACCTGACTTTCTCGCCAAATTTCTCTGCACTCTTATATTCTTCAATATTTCTGGAAATAAACCCTAATTACTATTACTGGGACTATTTGTGATGAAAAAAAGTGAACTGGTGGTGAAAAGATTAACAGAACCCCTTGGTATGATTCATGGGAATGTAATTTCATCTAAGTCACTGTGACTGCTTTGACCAAATAGTTTTTTCCTGATTTGATATTTCGCTTTTTGAACGCCAAAGTCAACTTTTGACATACCATCATCTATGTTTCACTTTATGACAACTTTCATCAGTGAATACCATCATCTATGTTTCACTTTACAACAACTTTCATCAGTGAATGCCATAATCCATGTTTCACTTTATGACAACTTTCATTAGTGAATACCATAATCCATGTTTCAATTTACAACAACTTTCATCAGTGAATACCATAATCCATGTTTCACTTTACAACAACTTTCATTAGTGAATACCACAATCCATTTTTCACTTTACAACAACTTTCATTAGTGAATACCACAATCCATGTTTGACTTTACAACAACTTTCATCAGTGAATACCATCATCCATGTTTCACTTCATAACAACTTTCATCAGTGAATACCATCATCTATGTTTCACTTTATGACAACTTTCATCATTGAATACCATCATCCATGTTTCACTTCATAACAACTTTTATTAGTGAATACCATCATCTATGTTTCACTTTATGACAACTTTCATCATTGAATACCATCATCCATGTTTCACTTCATAACAACTTTCATCATTGAATACCATCATCCATGTTTCACTTCATAACAACTTTCATCAGTGAATGCCATAATCCATGTTTCACTTTATGACAACTTTCCTTAGTTAATACCATAATCCATGTTTCAATATACAACTTTCATCAGTGAATACCATAATCCATGTTTCAATATACAACAACTTTCATCAATGAATACCATCATCCATGTTTCACTTTACAACAACTTTCATCAATGAATACCTTAATCCATGTTTCAATACACAACTTTCATCAGTGAATACCATCATCCATGTTTCACTTTATGACAACTTTCATCAGTGAATACCATCATCCATGTTTCACTTTATGACAACTTTCATCAGTGAATGCCATCTTCCATGTTTCACTTTACAACAACTTTCATCAGTGAATACCATAATCCATGTTTCAATTTACAACAACTTTCATCAGTGAATACCATAATCCATGTTTCAATATACAACTTTCATCAGTGAATACCATAATCCATGTTTCAATATACAACAACTTTCATCAATGAATACCATCATCCATGTTTCACTTTACAACAACTTTCATCAATGAATACCATAATCCATGTTTCAATTTACAACTTTCATCAGTGAATACCATCATCCATGTTTCACTTTATGACAACTTTCATCAGTGAATACCATCATCCATGTTTCACTTTATGACAACTTTCATCAGTGAATGCCATCTTCCATGTTTCACTTAAATTAATCTTTCATCAGTGAATACCATGATCCATGTTTCACTTTACAACAACTTTCATCAGTGAATACCATAATCCATGTTTCACTTTATGACAACTTTCATTAGTGAATACCGTAATCCATGTTTCACTTTACAACAACTTTCACCAGTGAATGCCATCTTCCATGTTTCACTTAAATTAATCTTTCATCAGTGAATACCATGATCCATGTTTCACTTTACAACAACTTTCATCAGTGAATACCATAATCCATGTTTCACTTCATAACAACTTTCATCAGTGAATGCCATCTTCCATGTTTCACTTTACAACAACTTTCATCAGTGAATACCATAATCCATGTTTCAATTTACAACAACTTTCATCAGTGAATACCACAATCCATGTTTCAATAGACAACTTTCATCAGTGAATACCATAATCCATGTTTCAATATACAACAACTTTCATCAATGAATACCATCATCCATGTTTCACTTTACAACAACTTTCATCAGTGAATACCATCATCCATGTTTCCATTTACAACAACTTTCATCAGTGAATACCATAATCCATGTTTCAATATACAACTTTCATCAGTGAATACCATCATCTATGTTTCACTTTATGACAACTTTCATCATTGAATACCATCATCCATGTTTCACTTCATAACAACTTTCATCATTGAATACCATCATCCATGTTTCACTTCATAACAAT